AGAGAGAGAGAGAGAGAGAGAGAGAGAGAGAGAGAGAGAGAGAGAGAGACGGGGCGATCGTGTGGTGAAAATGACGGGAATTCGGCAGTGTGTACGGATAGGAGGGGATAAAAGAGGACATGGTTTGGACTCAGCGGGCGGTCCAGCCGCGAAGAGGCTTTGTCTTGGAGGCCCAGTTGCATGCTCGGATGATTATCAATTCTGGTTGTCGTCATCCCAGGAGGAGCGCACGGTTACTAGAGGAACTCAGTCTGGTCATGGAGTTGCTTCGGTTTTGGCCGCTCAGCCGAACAGCAGCCCGATCGACAGTCTACCTGTAAGTTGTCCCGTTTTCCTTCCTTCCAAATGCATGCTGAAATTTTGCTGTGTGTTTCAGATTTTCCCGCCCCTCCCAGTCTCGTTTTCAAATCACTAATTAAATGTAATGCTTCTGAAAAGACACCTCTCGTCGCAGTTCGCTGCGGTACGCTGTTCTTCTCCGCACCGTCGCTCTCTGTGTGTGTGTGTAGCCTCTCTCTCTCTCTCTCTCTCTCTCTCTCTCTCTCTCTCTCTCTCTCTCTCTCTCTCTCTCTCTCTCTCTGCGTGTGTGTGTGTGTGTTCCCGCTTGCCCCCCCCCCTCTCTCTGTGAATATCATTATGCCCCAGACGAGCTGTTTGTCTGCTTTCTGTGTGTGTTGTCATCTTTTCGCTATATACTCAAAAAATGTACGACTTTGTGATCATTATGCCCCAGACGAGAAAATGTATGCCCCCCTCCGCTATGACTGTTTCGACGTATTATTACCAACTCATCGGGAGGTTGAACCTGGACAGACAGTCTGCCCAGGATGCATTTGACTGGTGGATAAGGACTCGCAACATCGCCGTCCGTCCAGTGTTAGCGATACGTCTGAGCAAAGTGGGGTGTGTGTGTGTGTGTGTGTGTGTTGTTTGTTTGGTTGTGTGTGTGTGTGTGTGTTGTTTGTGTGTGTGTGTGTGTGTGTGTGTGTGTGTGTGTGTGTGTTGTTTGTGTGTTGTTTGTGTGTGTGTGTGTGTGTGTGTGTGTGTTGTGTGTGCGACACGAGCGGTTTGTCTGTCGTGTGTAGCTTCTCGGTTGTTTTGTGGGCAATCGCTGGCTTGGGAAGGAAAGGAACTAAAAACAGGAAGTAATGTCCCGTTTGATCTTGATCCCGATGATGATTTGATGATGGGCTGCCTTGATCTCGATGATGATTTGATGATGGGCTGCCTATTCCAATAAGATGGACGGTTGAGGGGCGCGCGATTGTCTGTGGAAGCTATCCGTTCTTTTGTCTGTGTGAATGCCATTTCCTCCTACAGTCCAGAGGGTTTACTCGTCTGTGAAAGTCGTAATGATTTCCGTCACACAGCGGATGACATTAGGAGAAGTCAAGCAAGTAGGGAGCGGGAGAGGAAGAGGGAGAGGCGAGGGTAGAGAGGTGGAGGTATAAGGGTACAACAGGCAGTTGCGCAATGCAGGGGTTGTAGACAGAAGGGTGGAAGAAAGCTTTACTTCGCACACGGGTGATTGGTGTGTGTGTGTGTGTGTGTGTGTGTGTGTGTGTGTGTGTGTGTGTGTGCTGTCTCTTATACACATCTAGATGTGTATAAGAGACAGCCACTGTGAGTTGGTGATATGGAAGGAGGAGGTGGAAGGGAGGGAAACTGGTAGTAATAACGACGCAACCGGGGAATATGAAATACTGCGTGTTG